AAGGTGTTTAGCAACAACTGATGCAACACGTCCAAGAACGTGTCCGTGGCAATCGATTACAGTGACTTTGTTGTTAGTAGACATTTGTACACTGTCTTCAAAGAATTATAAGATGAATACCCTATTTTGTTTTCTTATATTTCAAATTATATTTTATTATAATTTTTATTATTCTTTTCTTTTGTGTTTTTAAGTATTTTAAATGAAATTTATAGGAAAATGTTCCATAAAATAAAACTGAATAAATTGATGAATGAATGTATTTAATTGGAAAACTTTTAAACCCTTTTTTTTCAAAAAAAATAAAACAGCAAAATATGAAGAAATTGATAATTTTAGAAAAGAGGGTTTTCAACTTATTTATTAAATCATAAAATGAGTAAGAAAGGTGGACGTAAGAATAAGAAGGTGACAAAATTAATTATTGGTGAAGAAGAAATTAATAATGTAGATGACCTTTTAACTACTTATGTCGAAGAAAAAAAAGGTGTTAAACCAAAAGAGTCTTCAGATATTTATGTCCCTAATTTTGCTAATCATCAGGAAAGACCACAAAGACAACCACGTGCTGAAGGTGAAAAAAAAGAAGACGACGGATTGTGGACTGTCAGACATGGACATGACTTTAAGAGACGCCCACCTAAAAAAGATAGAGAAGAAGATCGTGAGCCTCAACCCAGTGAAGCTGACACAGCCGATTCATGGAGAAGAAAAGATGGAGAAGCATTTGTTCCTAGAAAAGGAGGTGATGCTACTGAAAGAAACCAAAGAGAATATGGTACAAGAGAACCTAGACAACCAGCTGGACCAAGTGAAGCTGATACAGCTGATTCATGGAGAAGAAAAGATAGTGATGTACCTATTCCTAAAAAAACATATGAAAGAAGGCATGAAAATACAGAGAAACCACATAGAGATTTCGGAGAAAGAAGAAACGATGATAGAGGAAAGAGAACATTTGGACCAAAAGATGGTCAACATCAAAATACAAAGAAAAGTACTCAACATATAAAACAAGGGAAAAAGACTTCAAAGCAATCATCTAAACCTGTTGTTGATGAAGAAGGATGGATGACTCAATAAAATATGAAGAACAACAATTGTTAAGCAAATTTTTAAAGAAATAAAGAATATTTTTAGTTTTCATTTAAATTTATAAATGAAAGTTATACATACAAATCAATTATATTTCATCACATAATTAAATAACTGAAGGATTTGTTGATTTGTTTGATATTCTAAAGGAAGAGTATTTATGAGTTTCTTTTTTAAAGAGGTGTCTATGAGTTGATTATTAAGTAAAGTTTTTATAATTGTAGTAATAATATTTGTCATGTTACGTGCTAAGTTTTGAGATTGTGGGTGAATAGTAATTGTTTTTGGTTTAGAAGGTTTGATTTTGGATGGTTTTGTTATAATTTTTCTTTTGATATTAGAAAAAGAAGGACAAACCACAAGAGATTGATGATGAATAAAAGTGGGTTGATAATTTACTTCTTTTTTTATATGAAGTAGTGATAGATTATTACTGAAATAAGGCAAATCATTAAGTAATGACAATAACTTATGATCATTAAATTCATTTGATTGAATATGAGTATATGGAACTAACATATATTTTGATTGTTGATTATTCCATACTGAATGTTGTAATAAAATTAAATATTTTAATTTTCGTGGATAAACTACTATTACTTTTCCTTTCCTTACAACTCCATCCACAAGAATATTAACATATTGTCCAACTGAATATAATGATTCACCATTAGGTTTAAGAGGTTCTGTTGTTGTTTGAAGTTTTTGTTGTAATTTTTGTGCTTCTTCTTTAATAAATTTTTTTGAAAGAATGGAAGGTAATTTTCTTTTATTACGTTCATTATTTTTAATTTGAGACGCTTCAATAAAAGTAAGCATTTTGTTTGCACCAGGATATTGAGATACTTTGTTTTGTTCAATAATTTTTTTTGTTGAATCGCTAACAAAGAACTCAGCCGTAAGTCTTTTGTTTTTTATTTCTTGATTTAATGAACGATCACTGAACATTAAATTCAAAGCATCTTGCATTTGCTTATGTTAAATATTATTTTTAAATTAATTTTTATTTCAATTTTCTATGAAAGGTTAATGAAATGAAATATTAAAAATTTTCTTTTATTTTATTAAAAAGTTATTATTATGTTATTATTAAATTTGTTTTTTTTTTAACTCATTTTTCATTGAATAAATGAAGTTATTGAAACATTATAGTTTCTCATTCATTATTTTTTTTTTCTTTATGACTAAATTGTGTAAAATTATTTAAAATTATTTTAACTTATTTAATGTTTATGATATTATTTCTTTATAGAAGTTAGTTTTAGATTTTTAATTGTTATTGACATTATAATTAAAATAATACTCAGTCAAAGATAAACTTTAAATACTACAATTCTTATTGCTTATTTTGAATAAAGAAAGTTGATAGAACAAAAATAAACAAGAGTTCAAGAAAAATAAATAAATGTCTTGTTAAATCTAGAAAAATTAAAAGAAATGATAATAAAGGTTATTCTTATTATTGTTTTATTTTTTTCTCATTTGATTAGATTCAATCTTGTTAAGAAGATTTTATCTTATAACATTTAATTTAACACCATGGACACCACCCACAATACATTTTTTTAATATTATCAATATCAGCTGCTTGACTTATAATCTCATTTACTTGTCCTTCTACACTATAATTTTGTCCACCTTCAATTCCCATAAGTTTTTCTTTAGTATTGAACATAATACTTTGACATGACTTCATTTCATTTAATTTTTTGTCTTCTTTATTTTGGTTTTGTTTTTCATCTTTGACTTTAACTTGTTTTAAGTATTTTTCAAAAGCTTCGTCAGTCCATTTTTTAGGTGGAGCAGATAGTACAGCTTGAAGAATTGCTAATACAAAGTCTTTGTTATCTCTTAGAATTCGTAACACATTTTCACAACACCTTTTAAATGGACCATCATATTTTAACACACCCATAGGATCAAGAATTTCTCTTGTTAATCTAAAAGGTACAATTTCGGGAATAGGAAGTTTTTTTCCAAATTCAAAGACAATTCCAAAGTCAATATGAATAACTTCTGCTGTAGCCTCATCAAACATAATATTATTGTTATGTCGATCTCCAATGCCAAAGACATAGCCAATTATTGATGATACAGCTGTACTGTTTATATAATTTAATTTCATATCATATAAATGTTTTGGATCTTTACCATACAATTGGTCAAAAAGATTATGAAATGATGGCGTATAAGATTTAACACATTTATTAAATACATCAAAATAATTATCTAAACAATTATTATTTCTAAAATTTTTATGTGCTTTGTCTAATGCTGACATTGTACTTGAAAATGTTGGTTCTTCAGGATGAATTAAGTCATGTATTTTAGATAATTCATTAAACAAAGGTTTTGTTCCTGTAACAAATTCTAACATTCCACTTTCTTTAGTTAATGGAACCACTTTATATGTTCTAATCCTTAATTGTTTTGTTTGTTGATGTTGTTTAAATAAACGATTACATAAATCAAAAAGTTGTTGCATTACAGCGTCTTGTCGAAGGTCATCTTCACTTTTTAGAAGGAATGAATACTTTTTATTATCACTTCCTAAAAATTCCATTTTCTTTGGAGCTCTAATTCCTCCAACTAAAGAATAAACATTTGATATTCCAGCAATACTTGGACAATTATCTCCTGTCATAGAAGAGCATATTGGAATAGATACTAATGGATATGATTTTTTTGCAAAAGGAACTTTTCCTGAACTAGAGTCACTTTGTAAATAAGCGAAGTGAATTAATAAATGTGATAGTTCATGCATTTGATTTAGTATTGATGAAATACTTTCTTTAGAAGAAAGTTCATCAAGAAGATTTTTTGCACATAAGGGAGGTTGTTTTGGTTTTTGTGGATGGCAGTTAGAGTTATATAACATAAGAATATGCCAAAGTGTTTGTTGTGGATATTTTAAAGCAATTTGATAAATGATTTTATTTAAAATTTTTGATATTTCAGGAACAGAGTTATTCATTTTTGCAATCAATTGGTATGAAACAGAAAGTAATTTAGATAAATCAATAGTGTCAGTATTTCTTAAGAAATAATTTGATATTGTAGTATTAATATTATTATCACTTTTACAATTAAACCATATTGATAATATTCTTAATACTGAATATAAATCATAATTATTAGATAATTTGAGTGTTTGACAATAATTAAGAATAGCGTTTTGATGAAATAATTTAATATTTTCTTCTCTTGATAACTTTTCATTTTTAAATATATTAACTTCGTTGATTAATTTTGCTTTAAAATTATTTTTTGATTTTTGATCAACAAATTTTATTTCTTCTGACTCTACTTTTTTTAATTGTGATTTTTTAAGTTCAATTAATTGTTCTCGGTCATGTACAATATTACTTTTATTATATTCTTCTATTTCTTGTGCTTGAAGGTCATAATATTGAGCAACTCTAAAATGAATTTTTGATAATGTTTCTTTTTTAACATTATTGTTATTACCACTTTCTTTAATAACTGCTTCAATTCGTTGAATTAGTTCAGTCATTTCTTCTCGTTTATCAAAATGAATTTGTGATTTAAATTTAATACTTAATAATACAGTTTGTGGTTCATTTGAATTTTTTAATGCAAGTAATGCTGTATCATGATATTCTTGTTGATATTTAATTTTTGCATATTCTCTCCACCATTTTTCATCTTTTTCATAAGTAGAACATAATAGAGCAAGATATGCTTCATTTGAATAACCCCATTTTCTTGCATATTTGCTTTGTGTTAATGATTTATCAGGAATATTACAAACTTTACTTACTTCAAATAATTTTTTTATTAATTGATAATCAACACCACATTCTTTGATCCAATCAACACTTTCTTCTTTTACTTTATCACAATTTCTTCTTTTAACAATATCAACAATTAAACAATCAACAATTGAAGAACTTAGTTGTTCTTTAGAATCTTCTTCAATAAGTCCATGTTTTAGTGAATCAAATGCTTTTTTGGAAAATAAATTTAATGCATCTTTTTCATTAAATTTAAGAGCTTTCCAAAGATTAAAGTCTTTATTTTCATTTAAAGAAGTATTATAACTAACAATACTTCCCCAATCACTCATTGTTCTCCATGCAATAGAATAGTCTAAATCAGTTACTTCTGTTTGTGAATTAAAATTAGTTAATACTTCTGCACAATGATATAGTCCATTATTTCTTAATTCAGTTTCAATACCCTTTCTTTCTGCTTCTGCAAGTAAGAGTCTTCCAAATCCATCTTCTAAATTAACATCAATTTTTCTACCAATAATTTGTTTAATAGATTTGAAATCATTAATACTTTCTAATGGTTGTTCTATTAAATTTAAATTAGTTATTTCTTGTGGACGTTCTACATATATTTTATATTTACCATTATAAGACGTTATAAACCTTAAATTTTCTGAGAATTTAATTCCACTAAATGAATAGTTCCAACGTAATGAATCTTGAATTAATTGAGAAAGATCAAATAATTGATATAATTTTGATGTTAACGTATAATATCTTGAAATAAATGGTAATAATACCTTTCTTTTTTCTTCATGTGACATTTGAGTTAAAATAAAATCAACTAATTGGTCAGTCGGATTTTTTGTAATTTCATAAATACATGCATTAATAACAAGTTTAGAAGAGAAATTATCTTTACAACATATTTGTTTAATGGTATTTTTAATTTTTTCATTTCTATCATACATTAAATCAATAAGTTGTATACTTAAATCATTAATTATATCTTGTGGATGTAAAGAATCAAATTTTATTACGTCAAATGAATTGCTTTGAATTATAGCATCTATAACTCCATTAAATTTATTTGATATTTGTTGATAATATTGTGTTTGTGTTTTTAATAAGTATATAAATTGAATTATTTCAATGCTTGGTTGTAATGTAAGTAAAAGATATGTAGCTCTTTTATATAAAATTAGTTCTATTGTTTCATTAAATGTAGTAAGTATTTTAAAATCCCACATTCTTTTAAATGATGTATTAAATAAAGATTCTGAATCATTAATTTCATGAAGAACATATAATAAATTTGTTTTCATTTCAGAATTACATAATTCTCTATATTCTTGTGATAATAATAATGCTGATTTAATAAATACATATGGATTATTAGTTATTAAAGAACGAATAAACACAGGATAAGGGATAGCATTCTCATAATTTTCTTCTTGAATATCAACTAATTCTTTTTCAATTTCATTTTGAAATACACTAATTAAACATCCATTTAATTGTTCAGTAAATATTCTTGAAGATGGTTGAACATAATTAATTAATGAAGAAAAAATAAGTTTAACGAAAAGTGGTTGAAGATGATTTCTTTTTGAATTAATAAATTGAATGACTAAACCAAATATTGTTTCATCCTTAATAAATTCTTGTAATTTCAATAAATTACCAACAAACAAGGAAATAGTAATCATTAAATCAGGTTTAATAGGATTAGTTGATTTAGAATAATTAATCACGTCATTACAATATTTATAAAAAAATTGAACAATTTCTTTATAATTAGAATTAATTTTAGTTGAAAAAATAAGATGTATTAATGATAATGGAGATAATTGTTTTGGTCTCTGTTCTATTAAAGAATCAAAACAATTTGATCCAATATAGAGTCTCATTATTTTACCATAATGATTATTAATATAATTTTGTAATACTTTTTTATCAATAATATCAATATCTTCTTTATTTAAATATTGGTCTATAACTATTTCAATATCACGACTAATTAATTGTTTAATTGATGAGTAATTCATTAATGGTAATAATTGATTAGCAGCTTTTGAATTTTGTATTATCAAGGGAATTATTGACTTCTTATATTTTTTTAAGAAATCAGCAAATACATCAACCATATAAACAAATGGAAAATTTGATAACATTGAATATTTTTCAAACCATTTTTTGAAGAATTTTGCTGAAGGTGAGAAATCTATTAATGTGTCTTGAATTAAAAAATTATAAATCCTAAGGTCTTTATCTATTAATAATTCAAATGCTTTCATTAAACAGTCTATACTCTTTTGTTCATTTGTACATTGAGAACATTTATAATAAAAAAGGAACGATGATATTGTTTTTAGTGCACAGTCACTAGATTCATTTTGATTTAATAACTCATCAACTAATTTGTTTAAATTAACTCTAAGATCTTTTGGATTAGTTTCAGCTTTAATACTATCAAAATGAAGGTTGTAAAGGATAAGTTGTTCATTTGAACTATTCATAAAGAGTTTTCTACTATTAATGAGTGGTAAACAATTGTCTGATAATTCTTGTTCAATTTGATTTTTAACTTCTTCATTTTGAGTATATTTAAAACAAGAAAAAAGACTATCTAATGAAGACTCGTTAAAAAAGAATGTCCAGTCATTATATAGTGCTTGTAAATAATCTTCCATCAAAGGATGTGAATTAAGAACTTCAACAAATTTTTCAACTGTTTTAATGTTTCTATTAATATGCAATAATACTTTACAAATAAAATTCATTGGAAAAGAATAATTACATTGATTTAATTCTTTTATAATATTAAGTAGTGACAATGAAACTTCAGAATTATAATTCTTTAATGAATCAACAATTTCTTTGTAACATTTCTTTGGAAATACTGTTGTTGATTCAAGTAGAGCAGAATCTAATTTTGAAATAATTTTATCATGAAAGAAGCAGTGTGTTATTGAATTTCTTAGTAATTGTTCAATTACTTTGAGTAATTGTAGTGGCACTTCTTTTCCCTCTTTAATTTGAGAAGTTATATATTCAACAGCATATTCACTTCCTATGCCTTGAGTAAGAATATTTTGACAATCATTTTGATAATAAATGTCAGGACAAATATTCCATAATGAAGAAATTTTATTAATAAATAGTTTGTGTTCTTCTGATGGTTTATCTCTTAATGAATATACCAGTTGTTTTAATAATTGATAATAGCATATTGATAATTTACATTCATTAATTGTTGTTGGAATTTTTTGTTTTTTGATACAAATAAGAAATTCATTAAATAAAGTTAAACGAAGAGTTTGTGATATAACAACAACAGTACTAATATCAGGGACTATTTCTTTTTTTATGATTGGTGGAATAGTAGTAGTATCAAAGTCATAGAAAAACTGATGTTCAAATAAATCAATAAATTCATCTTTATCAAAAGATGGATTAAAAAATGAAATGATTGTATCTTTAGTAAAAGGTATCCCAAAAAATAACCATTGAATAATGTTAAATGAAAATGGCAGTAAAACAATTTCATCAAAATGTTCAACAATCCAATTAAGTTGTTTTTGTTCTTTAATTCTTCCTTGATAAATTAAAGGAATTAAAGAAGTAGAAAAAGATAGATCACAAGGTAATGATAAATTATTATCAAAAAGTATATGAAAAGCAACTAATTTTTGGAGAATAAATGATGATTTAGAATTAGTTGCTTTAAAAAATTCATTAGATAACGGTTGTAATTCCATTTTATTATATATTAATAATAATGAAGCAGAATATAATAATTCACATTGAATAGAACTAAACCGTAATTCCTTATTTGTACAATTTTGAACAGAAATAAAGAGTTGTTTTACAAGTTCAATACTTTCACTATCAACTTTGTTATATTCAATTAAACCTTTAACTGCTTCATTCATTATAAAACAACAATTAAACAATTGATAAGAATGTGTTTGAGCTCCAAAATATTTTAATAATTCTCCAAGTAAAAACAATCCATTTTCAGGTTGTTTTACACCAATTTTTTTTTCTTCTTTAAATGAATAGTTAATCATTTTACTAAACAATTTAGCAGTAAGATTCAATACTTCTTTTGGACCATTAAACATACTATTATTTAAAGTTTGTTGTTGGTCATTAAAAAGATTGATAGTAATGTGAGTATCTTGTAGTTGGTTTAATACAATTCCATTAAATACTTTAATTAATACATCTTTTGCAATTTTTTCTTCAAGTAAATTAAAAGAAAGAAGAATGTTATAATATTCAAGTAAAACAGTTTTAGAAGAAAAGAATAATCTATAATTTGGGGTGATAATAGATTGAACCAAATCATTATTTAAAAGAATGAAAAGAGAAGGATTAATATGACTATAATATATATTAATATAATTCACTAAATTTAAGAATAAAATACTATTACTTTCATCATTATTTTCAACAAAAAAATTTAAATAAATTTTAACTCTTTCACAAAGAGGAATAATGAAGCCATAAATATATGTGAAATGAGTTAGTCCAATAACCATGGAAAATAAAGCAATTGAAAATGAACATTTAGACTCTTTATCAAAGTCATCAATAACTTGATTTAACATTTCATCAAAAAGTATTTTAATATGACAATTAATATTTTCATCATTTTGATTTAATGCAAAATCAATATACATTGAATTACCAAAAATATTAGAAATTAAATCATATTCAGCAATTCTACAATTTTGTGTCATTAAATCCTTTTGATTAATTTCATTAATTATTGGAAGAATACTTTGAAATAAAAAATTGTGAGTATCTATTTGATTTGTTGATTGATCTGAAGAAATGTTTCTTAAAAGAAAAACACTTTGATTATATCGTTTTGTTGTTGGAGAAAAGAAGCAGTTTAATGTTTCATATTTCTCTTTTTTAGAATATCCTTTTGAATTAATAAATGCATCAAATAAATCACTCCATGTCACTCCTTTTTCTTCTTCATTTGCTGATGAAATAGAATTAACATTTAATGCCCATCTATTATTTGGTTCTGTCATTAATTCTTTAAATGCATTTTTATCTTCTTTCATCTTTTTTTGTTTACTTCGATAATTTTTTACAGTAACTCCGATATTTGTAGTTAATTGATACCTTAACTGTTCTACTTCTGCGCTAAAGTGATATGGAAAAATAAATTGATTAGTAAATTTTGTATAATCTTCGTCCATTCAAAGAAATAAAAGATTTTTTTTTGTAGTTTTTACTTATTATTTTATTTTTTTTTATTTTTTTTGTTATTTCTAATTAAAAAGAAAAATTATTAATATTTTCGCTTAACAACGAAATAGGAAAAGGAATATCATCGATTAGACTCATTTTTAAAGAAGTTATTTAAAAAAAGAAGAATAGAAAAGAAAAGATTGACTGCGTTTTAAAAAACTACAGAAGATGATAAAAGAAAACAACAAAATAATAAACAATAAAAATAACAACAACAACATACCTCTAATTCACATTGAAATGATATTAGAAAAATGTGTCATTGAGATCTTTTAGTTTGCTTGATCCAATATTGCAACGTTGAAGGAGATAAATCCCCATAAGTTTCTGGTTCAGTCACTTGAAGGAATCTAGCAGCTTTAGTAAGTCCAATTAAACGGACTTTTTCAACAGCAAACATCTTTTGTTCAAAGGACCAATACTTTTTTGTTTTCTTTCCACTAGAATTTGGTGGTGAAGGATTTTTTACTTTAACAGAAGGATTCTTCTTATAAAGAAAATCATTTGAAGGTCCAAAAATCACTTCATACTTCCAAGGAGTAGTAGGTTCAAAGACAGTCATACTACTCATTTGACAATAATGAGATTCATTTTTAGGTTTAAATTTTTAGAAGTTCATTATTCAATAAAAAATACACTTTCTTTTAAAAAATTTTCGAAAACATTCCATCTACCAAAAACAACCCTCAACATAAAGGAACTTAGTGCCTGTTTTATACTAGAATATAACCTCAGGTATTTTAATTGTTTCGTCATTAATAGAAATTTCTTTCATTTATTTCATTTTTAGAATAACAGAAGATTAAGTGGTTAAGTTTTTATATAAAAACACAAATATTTTTGTGATAAATAACGAAATACTAAATTATTATGTTAAAAGCAGTTAAATAAAAAATAATAAAGAAAGACAAAGTAAAGCTGTTAGAAGCCCTGTTAATATAAACAGACCAATAGAAATTTCACCTAATTTAATTGATTGTTCAGTATTTGAACCACGACTTATAATATAATTAATAAGCCATATTAATGGGTTACAAAACCCAATAAGGAACAGAAAGAGTATTAACTGATTATATCTAATTTCATCTTCAGATAATGTCTGATGTAATTGATTTTCATAGAGTAATGGTACTTCTGTTGTTGTTGGAAAAACATAAATGGAATTTTGGTAGACTTGTTGTTGCATGATTAACTGTTTATGATTTTAGTTGATTAATGAAAAGTTTTTATTCAAACATTCGTACAGAAAAGAATCTTCATATTTCGGTTTGTTTAGCCTTTTTTTCTTCTATATTATCTCCTGAAATCAATACTACATTTTTAGTCCTCATCACAACTTTTTTGTATATTAAAAAAATAATAAATAAACTATAAAAGAAGTAACTAATATGACACACTAGTTTCTTTCTTGTTTTGTATCAGTCAATCTAAATATAACCTTTTTGATTTTTCCATAAGAAAGACACAAAACGAAAATAAAAAAAACTTGTTATTTGATGTTTCATAATAAATGCTAATGAAAAGAGAAAAAAGAAAAAAAAAAGTAAAAACATAGTTTTAAAAATTAAAAAATGAGGTTAAAGGAAAAAAAGACATAACAGACAAAGAAATAGATAAGATCGATCTAATAATCAAATTATATATGAACAGTTTTTTTAGACAGCACAAATATTTTGGTACACCACTCTCTAATATTCAACGAAGAAAAACTGGACAATGTGATCACCGTATTCCTTCATTAGTATATTTATGTGTGATGTATATTTGTGAACCAGAACATATCACTCAACAAGGACTGTTTAGGTTATCTGCACAAGCACATGAAATTGAAAAAGTAAAGAAGATAATAGATCAAAAAAGTTGTCTTGGATCAAAAAGTATTTTAATTAAAGCATTTGATAAAGACCTTGGAATATGTACTGCAATTTTAAAGAAGTTTCTTTATGAATTACCAACACCATTAATCCCACAAACAAATATCAAATATTTAAGAGATTTAAATAATAACCCACCATCTGCTTCAAGACTATTTTCTACTCTTGACCCAGCAGCTGCTGATATATTAAGTTTTATGTTAATATTTCTTAATTATATTACTAAATTTTCTAATAAAAACAAAATGAATGCTACAAATTTAGCAGTTTGTTTTGCTCCTGTACTTACTCGCCCTTCTGATTCTACGTTGGTTGAGTTAAATTCTATTAAAACGTATATTGAAATTTTAATAGAATATTGTGATAAATTAATACCACCACAATTATATGAAGTATTTTGTGTCCCATTTAAAACATTTTGGAAGAATGATGCTGAGAGACAAAAGAAAATTGTTCATGTATTACCTCAAATTGAAACATCAAAAGAAATTTATGACTATGTTTTACAAGACAGACTATTATATCATCGTTCTGATGAATGGAAAGATATGACTTATTCTCAACTTATTCAAGAATATGAAGCATTTAAATTAGCTGCATCATATTTCTTATATAATCAATATTTTGTTAATGGAAAATGGCCAGAAGATAATACGTTTCATGGAGTAATGATGTTAATTGATCAATTAAAGAAAAAAATAAAAGAAAATGAATCACTGGTACAACCTGATTGTTTTCATTCATATAACATTTCTCAATCAGAAAAAGAAATTGCTTTACCAAATACTTGTGAAGAACTTGCTAGTTTTGTAGCTGATATTCAAACAGAAATAATAACTATTCAACAACGATTAGACCAAATGCCGGATCATGTTATATTAAAGAAAAATGGAGATATTCATACGCTTGCTGAAAGAAAATGTTTAATTGTCAAACAACAACATTGTGCTAGGGTAAATAATTATATTATTGATCATATTAATGAAATTTTAATTCAATTAAAAGCATAATTTAAATTGTTTTTGTTGATTAAAATCCTTAAATTGATAAAATAACAACCAAATAATTAATTAATATTAAACATAATTAATGTTGAACTTTATAAAAAAAAAGGATGTAGAAGAAATATATATTAATTGTCTTGAGTAACAATAGAACGTTTTTTATTTCTTATTGATTTTTGAACAATAACATTTTTTTGTAAGCGTAAAAGATGTTTTTGTTTTTGGTGAAGAATAGACTCAAGGTTCTTTAATTTAGAATTATACAATTGCAAATTTGGTGAATTGGACCTACTATTTGCTACCATTTGAGACATCCGAAATATTTCATTTCGAATATTGGAGATTTGCTGTGTCAATTCACTTTGACGATATCTTCTTCCTGAAGGAATTGAATTGTCATTGATTGGACTTTCTCTTACTACCATTTTGTCATTTGATGGGTACATAACTTGACTATCAACTTGTTCATAAAGTAATGGATTTACAGGGATAAATACAGAGAGATTGGTCATGTTATATGAAATTAAAGATTAACCTCCTTTGTCTTTTTATATTATTGTGTCCCATTGTCTTTTTATTTTTGCTGACCCAATTTACAAAAATAACTACAATAAGTAAACCCCTAACATTTTATTTCTTCATTAATTGGTTGGTTTATAAATACTTCTCTTCTTTTATTCTTTTTTCGTTTTTTTTCTTTCTTCGAATATAGTTTTGGTATTGTTTGTTTACTATTTTTTTTATTTTTTTTATTTTTTATTTTTTTTAAATTAAATTAAATTAAATTTTTTTTCGATTTTATTTTGTTCTTTTCCTTTACTCTGTTTATTTTTAAATTTACATCTCTGAAGATTTTTTCTTCTTTTATCTGTTTGTTGTAAACCATTTTTATTCATTATATTTTCAGAATATTTTAATATTCTTTCGATTAAAAGCTTTGTTTTTATTTTTTTGTAAAAAGTGTGTAAAAAACAATAATAACACAAAATTTCTTTTAATAATAATTAAATTTTTTGTTATATATGTCGAGAAAGAGTATAAACAATAGTTTCTTATTTATATTATCTACCAATCAAATGAATGTAAACTTGATGGAACTTAAAAATAAAAAAACGAAGACATGGCAAGTTCTCAACCAACAAGATTTTCTTTAAGTACTCGTTCTTCTGATTTTATCACTTGTGAATCTAACCCACTTGAAACAGTTTGTTTTTTTTTGGGTATAACAAGTTTAGTCAAAACTTATTAGTAGTTATTATTGAACCTTACCAACGATATTCCTACTGGTGTTATTAAGCATTTTTGTTCGTTAATGTCTACCCCAGAAGAATTATTCAATAATACCTCTATGATTGTTGGATATTATTTACAAGAGGGTTGTTTAAAACAATTTATTAAATACTTGATTGTAAGAGAAATTGAAGAGTGTTTCCGTACTCCACAGTCAATTTTTAAAAGAAATTCAACATATTTAAGAGTGTTAAAAATAATTTTAGAAAATGAATTAAAACCCTTCTTTAATAAAGCAATGGAAATTGTCTTAGTAATTATTGAAGAGAATAAGTCTAAATTAGTTATTGGAAATACAGGGGATCCAGGGGTTGAAAAGTCATTAGATAAAATGAAAGACATTATTTACAAATTAACAGAATTATTTATCACTTTTAATTTCTCAAATACATTCCTTTATTTTATGTCTCGTGCTTTAGTTGAACTTCATGCAAGAACTCCAAATGTTGAAATTAGTGCTTTAAGAGGATTATTCTTTATTCGTCTTCTTGGAAATTATTTAGTCTCCAATCTTGAAAGTAAAAGTGCTGTTGAAGCTGAGTCATTAAAAACTGTTTCAGTAGTATTGTCATGGTTTGCTGAACCAACTGAAGAAGAAATATCTGAAGATAATTGGAAAGCATATTTAAAAGAATTTGCCTCTGACAAACGACAAAGCATTGATGAACGTATTCTTCAATTTAAAAATTCTGATATTGAATCTATAGAAATTGATTTACCATGGATTGATAAAGAAAAGGCTAAAGATTTATTACCAAGAATGCAAGTTGAATGGAGAAATGTTGTTCAATTTGTTACCTCAGAGAGTGGTGTATTACTTCAACTTCATTTTTCTTCAGAAATGGAAACAACAAGAATTTACAATAGATTAATTAATGAATTAGAAGCTTTATCAACAAATACTAAAAAAGAAAAATCCGATTTATTATTAAAAATGACTTCAATGAAAATGGAAATTAAAGACTTAGAAGAAGAAATTAAATACCTTCGTGAATTATTAGCATCACGTGACCCTTCTTTAGCTTATTTAAAAAGTGATGAAAAAGAACAAGATAATTAATTTGTTAGTTCTAATTTTTATTAAATTAAAATTTTGTTTGATTAATGATAAACTACTTTTGATTTTAATTCTTTTGGTTCTATTGTTGACAAATAATCTTCATCACCATACCCTATAGCTATCATTAAAAGTAATTCCTCTTCTTTCTTTATTTTCGTTTCTAAATGTAAAGCATCAAGCCACTTATCTGCTACTACTGTTATTACTCCAATTGGTACTGCTGCAAGTCCTTCAATACTAGCTGCTAATAACATATTTTGTGCAATAAAACCAACATCAAAATGAGTATTTGCATTATCATTAGATTTATCACATGTTAAAATAATAGCACATGGGCAGTCATAAGTTAATATTGATTTAACTCCTAACGTTTTCATTCTTTCTTCATACAGTTTTGGGTTTAAGTTAAAAATTGTTTCTTGACAATTTTCAGCGATTCTAGCAATAACTTGTTTGTCTAGTTTTATTAGTCAATTACTAAATTTGAAAATATAAATTAAGAAAGAATTGTCAAACTTTTAATAACATAAAATCGTATTGGTTGTTCATCACATGCAGTAGGAGCATTTCTTCCAGCATCAATTATATGATTTAATTTGTTTTCTTCAACTTCCTTATCAATAAATTTTCTGCAGGTTCTTCTGTATAAACTTTTCATAATCACAATCTTAAAAATATACCTTGAAACAAAAAAGGAAGAGTGGCTTATAAAAAAAGAAAAAAAATATAAATAGACAAAGAATAATATTTGAATAATAATTTAATAATAAATTATAATGAAGAAGGTATTTTGAGAATGAAGGAAATTAAGAGAAGAAAAATAAAAAAATTAAAGAAAAACTAAAAAAATTTTAAAATAATTTGAATGACAGGAATGGACCAAGCTGACAAGAAAGACTTCTTGGACTTGGTGTTCGGCGAAATTAAAACGCCTGCTCCAGTTAAGATTTGTGTTTCACATGCTAAAACTAAAACTAAACAAGGAGAAAATGATGTTTTATATGCAGATTCTATTGTTTCATTTAAAAGAAACGACACTGAAGGAACAGGAGAATTAGATGTATATCAAATAAAACAGTGTTTATCATCTACTGATGGAGTAAGTACCAATCAGAGATATAATTTAACAGAGGCTCAAATAAAACAATTATTTAATGAAAGATTTACTGATAAAAGTTGTAGAGTAGATCAAAAAGAATTTTGTGATTTTATTATTTATTTAAAAAGTATTTCAGAACGATTAAAAGTTTGTTTAAATAATATTAGAAAGATAAAAGAAAGAATAAAAGAGGATTAATTAATTTAGGAATATTCAAAACAAAAAAATATATATGACATTTATGCAGATCAATTTAAGGCTAATACATCAATATCAAAATTATATAATTATTTTGATGAAAATGATTTTACTTTAGAAAAGATTAATGGAGAACATAATGGAATTACAATCTCTTTCCCTCTTACAGGTGATGCATCAACAATTTCATATTTAAAATTAATTGAACAACAATTCTATGGAGAAAGAATAGTTATAAGAGAAAAACAAACGATATATTCTTCAATTAATCCAAGTAGATTAAGTGATTTTGCTAAAACTGAGAAGTGTAAGAATTATATGAGAATTTTTGGTAATGAAAAAATAGAAGAAGGTATTGAATCAAAAGAGTCAGTTGATCAAAAAGAAAGTGACAAAGATAATATTCAATTAGATGTTAAAATGGTTGATATTATTGAACGTTCAAATAGAAGAAAAGAAAATCCCAATTTATTTGATTTTTATAATCCAGTATTTTCTACTGGTAGTATTGTTTCAGAAAGTGTTGAAGTTCCAATGAAAATGAATGATGATAGAAAACCATTTGTATTTGAATATACATTAGGAGGAGATGGAGAACAAATAGTTTCATCATTTTGTCTTTTAGAAGCAAATTCAAAAAGGAAATTAACAGCTGATTATTTTGTTGAATTAAATAGAAAAACAGATACATTTGATGTATTAAATCAAATAAATCCAGTAGTTATTAGATTATGGCCATATGATATTGAAAATGGAGATCTTTGGGTATTAGTAAAACACTATAAAAGTGCAGATAATGATATTGAAGCAATTAAAGATATGTATGAAAAAGGACTTGAAGATAAAAAGGGGAAAAAATATAAAGAAAAAATAGCAACAAGTAAAATTGATGTTCAAAGAGAACAACTTTTAGTTATTGGATTAATGCCAGTTAATAAAATGTTTAAAGAAAAAAAAGGACAATTATTAAATATTAAATTTTATAGAGAAGATATTGAAAATGAAAAAAGAATATTTGAATTAATTGATGATGTAAAAAATAAAAAAGCTAAAGAAATTGATTTAAGATGTTGGTTAGCAACTATTAGATTTACTACACTTGAAGATTGGAAAGAAGCTCAATGTCATTTATATTTAGGAAATGAAAGATTAACTGAATTAGAAAATATTCAAAAAATTAAAGAAGAAAAAGTAATTGATGTACCAGTTATGGAGGATTTAATTGAAAATGAAGAATTATGTGATATTTATGATAGATATTCTAATAAATTAATTATTTATCCAAATGAAGTATCAATTGGAAAAGAAAGAAAAAGATCAGGAATTGTAATTAAAGTTTGTCTAAGAGATAATGATAGTAACATTGGTGATGAATCATTAGATCTTAAATTATTTTATCCACAAAAAAGTAATATTAGAAAAGGAGAAGTTGAAATGACTTCAAATAGAATTACCTCTTTTTCACATACAAAAATTGGTCAATTTTTAAGTGAATTAAAAGTAGAATTACCTTTTCCATTAAAGAAAACACATCATTTATTATTTACTATTACTGATGTATCTGCTGAAGAAACAGGAAATAGTTCAAAACCATTATATGCATATTATTCATTTTTTGAAGATGGATTTATTAATGAAACAAAGAAAACAGGATCATTTTCAATTTTAAAATCGTTGAATGGAGAAGTAACACTTCCAATATTAAAAAATCCATCAAAAAATTATCTTCAACATACAGAGTTTTATGAAACGTCAAAATATTTTTTAAAAATTAAATTAAATGGATTAAGTAGTGTTTATCCACAATCAGAAGATACATACAAATTAATTCATTATCTTATTAAATATGCAGAAAATGAAAGTGATGATCAACTTGTTCAACAAATTAAAAATATTTCAGAAAAAATACCTTCAACTGATTGTGTTCATTTCTTTCCAGTCATAATGAATGGATTATTAAATGTAAATAAAATATTACTTGAACCAGTACTTACTATTGTTGATAAAGTAAGTAATTTTGAACAAAAATATTATCGTAAAAATATGTCAAATCCAAAAGTTGTAAGACATCCTGTTTTATCTAAATATCTTCAATATCACTGTACATGTCAAGATTCATGTCCAAATACATTAGTTATGTTATTAAAAAGTCAATTAAGTTTAACAGATCAAGCTCAAACAATATCAAAAGTATTTTCACATATTTGGTTTTTATTTGAAGTTATTATTCATTCATTAATTAAATATTTAGATAAACAAAATGCATTAAAAGATGAACGTGGGAAATGGTTTGATCCAGAAACAATTAAAAATAATAAAATTTCATATAATTCATTTAAAAAATTATTCCTTCAAGCGTTTACACCTACATTTTCACAAGTACTTCATGACAGAGTATTTAATAAAATGTATAAAAATCTTGCAGAAGCTAATGCGGCTTATGTTAGATTTTTAATGAAATTATTTAGAATATTAGGAAGAAGTGAAGTTATGGGAGTATTTGAATATCATTTAAAACAACTTTCATTACCATATGTTGAAGTAAAAAATAATTTTGTTAAATATGAACAAACAAGTGAAGAAGTAATGTTTTTAACAGTTTTAAGACTTGACTCATTAAATTTATTTTCTAAATTTCCATATATTGAATTATTAGCATTACCAGATGATATTGAAATGAAAGATAATGATATTGGAATGCTTGGAGATATTGTATTAGAAAAATATTTTCCAGTTTATTTATTGATTAGACAGTACCTTCTTATTTCACAAAAGTCTACAATATTATCTAAAATGGGAATTTATTCATTGGTTGCATTTTTACAACGATTAGATCTTGATGCCAAATTACAAAATAAAAAAGGAATTATATCAAATATGTTACTTGGAATTGTATTAAGATTAATTGATGATAATGATTCTATTCTTGATTGGGAAAATAAAAGATGTAGAGAAAATGATGGAATAGAGGATGTAGAGATGATATCTATTTGTTTCTTTTTTGTATTAAAAAATATGGATGATAAAACGTTAAAGTCATGGTTAACTGGTGAAGTTCCATCAAGAGTTAAAATAATAGTTAATATCATAAGAAGGTCATTAATGTTATTATCGAGATATCCACTTCCATTATTTAAAGACGTTGAACCAGAAGTAGAAGAAATGAGAGAAAGAGTTATTAATGATATTACCAAAGAAAATGAAACGAAAGAAATAACAATTAAAGAACCAATGCAAATTATTCATATTAAAAAAAGAAGACCAAGTCAAGCACCTACAGAAGAAATGCTTAAAGAACAAGAATTAGAAAATAAAAATAAAGTAGATAGAAGAAGAAAAATTATGAGTATTTCAATAAAAAGAAATGAGTATGATTTTCTTCATCATTATATAATTTATGATTGTGTTATGGTTACTTTAGATGCATTAGAAATATTGTATGAAAGAACTCAACAAGAAGAAAGTGCTACAGAAGGAAGTGATAATGAATCTAAAACTGCATTAGGTGATATTGAAAATATTATAAATAATGTTTTATTTGATTGTCCAATGAATAGTAAATATGCAGAACAATTATTTGCATTTGTAAGAAAGATATTAAGTAAATATTGTAACTATATTTTTACTAAACGTGTTGACTTCTCATTCCAATTATTAAAGAATATAATTAAATTATGTAGTTCAGAGAATGATAAAGTATGTCAAATGGCATTACAAAGTCTATACATATTTTCAAAAATTAATTTTGTTTGTGACAAAGATTTATCAAAAATATCAAATCATATTGTTTGTGCACTTAGTCAATTACAAAGTTTAATGAAAAATAAAAATAAATTTGAACGTACTATTAGTCAATTAATAAGTCTTCCACAAAAAGACTTTAATTCTTCAAGAGAAATTATTATGAAATTAATTAAAATTTATAAGGAACAAGGTATTTATGATACAAAATATCTTTTTAGAATTCAACAATTAGAACTTGGTGTTGCTGCTGGAGCAACAGATGAATTTTTAACATTTTTAAATAATGTTGTTAAATTACATCAAGAAATTCTTGAACCTCTTGACTTATTAAATGCTGATTTAATTAATGGATATACTACTTTAAAATTAAATATTTGTGACTTCTTCCCAGAACATCTTAGAGTAAGAGGAATTGATGTTAAAAAGATTAAAATGCGTATTGAAGAAAAATTTAAAGAGTGTTGTTTTGTTAAATTACTTAGTGATAGATGTACAAGTTTAATTGAACAATTTAAAGTGATGATGGGTCATTTAAGTCTTATTGATAAAAGGTCTCGAGACGATCAAAAAGAGGCAATTGAACTAGAAGAAATTTTTAGAAAACATATGCAACAAAGTCTTGAAACATTAAATTGGGTAATAAAAGTTGTTATGACAAAACCAAATAATAATGTTCCTAATGAAATGATGAGTGAAAATTTAACAATTGAACAATTAAGAACATTAAGAGTTATGAGAGAAAATGAAGCGAATCAAATTAAAAAAGAAGCAGAAGAACGATTAGAAAAATATAAAGAAGTTATGGAGACAACAGGACAAAAGAATCCATATTTCCCAATTGAAGATAAACAATTTTCTGATATCCTTGAATTAGTAGAACAATTATTTGAACAAAAATTAGTATTAGTAAAAGAATCAATTGAATGTTATAATATGTATGAAGAAAAGAAAAAAGAATTAGAACTTAAAAGGAAAGAAGTAATGAATGAAATAGAAGATATGCATAGTTCTGTTACAAAGAATTTGTATGATCAACCATTAGGAGATAGTTATACTAATTCTACATTACAAGACTTTAGTAGAGTACAAGATAGATTTGCTGTAAGTGATGATACTGTTGAAAAACAAAATGAACATTTAATGAGACAACAAAGACCATGGTGTTTAAGATTTGAATATTGGAAACAAATCCTTCCTATGAGTGCAAGTATTGTAGAAAAAGTAAACGTTCTAATTAAAAAAATTGAAGCAAATGAAAGAAGAATGACATTTAAAAAACAATGGCATAGTCAAGAAAGAGAATTTGCTGTAAATGCAATTAAATTATATGAATGGAGTAAAACAGTAGAATTATTAATGAAAGAAAAGGATACTAAATCAAATGAATATATGGTTTGGTTAAGTAAAATTGCTAATGATTGTTTAGGAGAAAAAGAAGAAATGATTCAAATACAAAAAAATGTTCATGAAGAATTTGATAACTTAAAAGCGTTAGTAAATGCTGTTGTTATTGATATGAAACGTGCTAATAATAGAAGAAGACAAACAAGAAAAAGTATTGCATTAGCTGAAGGAGAACAATTTAATATAAATGCATCAAGACTATCTACAGATTCAAATAATAGTGAAGGAAGTGAAACTTCCGAAACTTATTTAAATATGGAACCATTTGGATCAGAATTTATGTCAAAATGTGATTCATTAATACAAGAAGGAATTAATAATATTGATGAATTAGCAAAATTCTTTGAAGAAAGAAAAGTAATTGAAGAAGGAAATAATAATAAAAGACAAGAGTACTTTGGGTTGCTTGTTCAATTTAGTGATTTAAAGAAAGAATTAACAGTAGAAGATAAGGACTTCTTTAGTAAAGTACAAAACCTTAAAAGTATAAAGAAAAATATTGATGAAATGGAAAAAATGGAAATACCAGAAATTAATGCATATTGTGATTATACTCTCATTCCTGTTACAGTTACAAATAACTTTAAAGATATTAATGACATGGTACTTCAATATTCTAAACAAGAAGAACCAAAAAAAGAAGAAAAAAGTAATAAAAAGAAAGAAATTAAAATAGTTGAAGATGAAGAAAGAAAATACTTCTTAAATGAGAATGATAGATTTAGATATGAAGCATTTTTAGATGTTAATGAACATAAACAAATTATATTTGAACATTGTATTGATGATATGGATCAAGAAATGAGAAAAATGATTAATAAACTTGTTGAATTAGATGAGTTATCTAAAAAATCAAATGATCCAGAATTTCTTATTCAAAAGTTTTATGAAAGTACTATTGATTATGAACATAATCCAAGACTTCATTTAACATGGTTTAATAAAATGGCTGCAGAAAATCGAAAGAATTTAAATTTTGTAGAAGCAGGAATGTGTGAATTACATATGGTTCATTATATTTATTGTCATATTGCAAATAGATCTAATGACCTTCCTATTCAATTTTTAACAGAAATATGTGAAGATTTTTTGAGTGAAGATAAAGTTGTTGAATTACAAGAGAATAATGATTGTTCATTTGAAAGTATGATTGTTCATATAAAACAAGGAGTTAAAGATTTTGACACATCTCATTTATATAATTATGCGTTAGCATTATGTAATTTTGAATTACCATATTATGAACAAATATTAGATTATAGAAAATTAGCAGAATGTCATGCTACAATTCAAAAGTTATATAAAAATATGGATGTTAAAGATAATACAGTAGATATATATAGTGGATATTTCTTCCATGTTGAATTTGTTGGTGAAGCATTAAAATCATTATCAACACCATTTGGATATATTTATCGTTCACAAAAACCATTAAAAGATTTTAATAAAGAACTTAAAAGTCTTATTGCAGGAGCAGGTATTAAAGATATACCATTTATTGATAAAAATGAACATGTTGATGATTCAGTAACTAATTATGTTAAAGTTAAAGCAGTCTTCCCTATGATTGATAATGAACCAATAAGAGACCCACAAACATTATTAACTAATACAAAATTATTTGTTTTTGAAGATGATAGTGGGCCAAAGACAGATATTCTAAAAAGATCAAAAGAACGATATGTATTAACCACATCTTTATCTATGCCATGTGGATTAAAAAGACAACAAGTTGTAGATAAAGAAGTTACAAAATTAACACCAATTCAAAACGTTACAGATATTCTTTCATACAGATTAGATAAATTAACAAGTACATTATCTTCTTATCAAGACCTTAAACTTGCTGGCAAAGAAGATTCTGCTAAATTAAAAAATATTCAAACTTGTGTTGGAAATTTATTACAACCAAAACAAAAAGAAGAAAGTGTATATGCAATTACTGAGACATTCTTAAGTAGTGGGTTTTATACTGGATGTGAAGTACCTTCTGTATCTGAATTATTTACTATTTTACAGAGAATTTGTGAGATTATTGGAGCTAGTCTTGATACTTTAAAGAAAAAAATTAATAATGACGACTGTAAACTACATCAAAAAATGTTTGAGGAATTTAGGCAGTTAATTCTTTCTTTAGAAAATGAAATTAATGACTTCATTGAAAAAAATGATACTAATTAAAATAACAATTTTTATCTTTGTATTATGTTATTTTGTTTCAATAAATATAATAATTCTCTTTCTTTTTTAATAAAAAGGTATTTTGAACTACTTTAATTCTTTTTTTAAGATAAATATCTATTCTTTTTATAATAAAAGCAAAAAATAAAATGAAAATAATTCATGACTTACTCATTTCTTTTATTGATTGTTTTCTTTTTATTATTGTAATTTCTTTAATTAAATTAGTCTTTTATTTTCTGACACTTTCGTGATATTTATTCTTTTCATTTGTTGGAATGAGTCGATTTTATTTAATAAATTTTAGTCAGACGTTGTTTCGTATATTTAATTTTAAGTGAATTTACGCTATTAAAAGCTTTGGTATATTTCCATCTCCATCTTTAATTCTAAAACAAAATACACAAAAAAATTTTTTCCTTCATATTAAAGATTAATATAAAAATAATTTTGAGTAGAAAAAACTGAAAAATGATAAAATATTATTTTTTTTATGAGCAGTCGACGGGTTAGAGGGAAAAAAACAAGATCTGCAAGTGTTGCTATTAGTGAACAAAACCAAATCCCAAAAATTCAACAACAAAAGAAAGTTGAGGAACGTTCAA